GAGCCGAATTCGAATGCTTAATAACTGAGTTACCCTGGCACCCCACCAAACTGGTATTTCAAAACAATTTTTAAAAAAATTATATATAGAGCATGGGGAAGGGGGGGATAGAGGGAGAGGGGAAGAGAGACAGAGAATATCCTAAGCAGGCTCCATGTTCAGTGTGGAGCCTGATGTTGGGCTTGATCTCACAATCTTGACTCCATGACCTAACCAACTAAGCCACCCAGACGTCCCTAACCAAACTGTTACATTAATTGATGCCTTCTCCCTATCTTGTTCTTTCTAATTTTCTTTTATTCTTGACATGCTCCTCCCTGACTTGGAGTTTCCTTTCCCTTATATTCTGCCTAGCCCTATCTTTCTATCCTCTGTCTAGGTGTAATCTTTCAAGGTTCTACTTAAATCCCACCCTCTCTAGGAAGCACTCCTACTCTGTGTGAATCCTTGATGTTTTCTACTCCCCTCTTACTCCTAGAATTTCAGTTTAGTGCAATAATTATTTACTGAATAAGTTGTAGACCCTGATCATTTCTGAACTCAAGGACTTTATAGTCTAATAGGGAGGTCAGACATATAAAGTGTATTATGGGCTCTTACAGAAGTGTATATATAAAGTGCAGAAGAAGAATAGAAGAGAATGTTTTTAACTCCATTCTACCATCTGCCTATGTTTATGTGTAGGATGTCTTATTTAGCCCTCATCACTGCAAAAACAGTGGTCTACTTAGGCAAATTTTCTAGGTTACTGAAGCTTAATTCTTTGCTATGTATTATATATATATATCTACAGTACATATATATATATATATACATATATATATATGTACTGTAGATAAATACATCTGTGCATGTTGGTCTTTATCTTTCATTCTGAAAGAATTCCATTTCACAGTCCGTAAAACTGAATTTGAGATCACTCTAGTAGCTTTCTTACAAATGCCGTATCACATCTCTAAATCTTTGTCCTAGGTTTTAGCTCTTGAGTGTACTCCCTCCCAAATTAGGTTCACTTAGGACAGTGCTCTTCCCACTTCACGTCACTTTAACACAAGTACCTTCTATTCTTCCATGAGCCAATTTCCTACCATAAGTACAAATGCCTGAATTGGGTCTTCAAGGAGAACAATGTTGAGTTCTTATTATTTTCTTGAGACATGCTTCTTTTGTGCTATGTAGGGAAACCAACTTTGTATGGTAGCCTGACTTGTCAAGGAATTGGCCTCGATGGCATCCCAGAAGTTACAGCTTCAGAAGGATTTATTGTGAATGAAATAAATAAGGTAGGTTTTTATGTCTTCTAGATGACACCGAGTCCAAAACTGGGTAGTACCTATATATCTACTGTAAATATGTATACTGTTATTTGTATATCTGTGTTATCTTTACTTGTATAGTAATCACAGTTTTTACGCCTTTGAATGTCAAGAGTTTTTTTTTCTTTTGTAGTTACATATACTTTTAAATACTTCTAGTTACGTATACTTAGTCTTACTTCCCTTATATCAGCGCTATTCAGTAGGTAAAATAATGTAAACCCCATATGTAATTTTAAACTTTCTAGGAACCACATAAAAAAGGTAAAAAGAAACGGTTGAAATTAATTTTAATAATATATTTTATTTAACCCAGTAGATCTAAAATATTATTTCAACCTATAATTAATATTAAGAAATTGTTAATGAGATATTATACATTCCGTTTTTCTTACTGAGTTTTTGACATCCTGTGTATATTTTACATTTACCACACATCTCAATTCAGACTCTAATTTTTTATTGAAAATACTTGATAAATGTATTTAGGTTCTATAAAATTTACAGGTGAGAACACAGATTCACATACCCAAGTAGTTCCAAATATACTTAAAAAGTTTTCCAAAAACTGAGTCAAGTATTAGTTTTTAAATTAAATTTTAAATAAAATAAAAATGCAGCTCTTCATTTGCACTGGCCGTATTTCAAATGCTCAATAACCTCATGTGGCCAGTATCTACCATATTGGACAGCATAGCCTTTATCTGGCTAGGCCTTGATGAAGACCTACGTTAATAGTACTTAATAGTTTTTCTCATTGGTCTTTGAAGTAAGTAGATGGCTAAACTAAGTACAGTAAAACCTTGGATTGCGAGTAACCTTTTCTGTGAGTATTCTGCAAGATGATTAATCATTTCTAATAAATGTTAACTTGTTAAAGGAGCAGTGTCCTGCAATACGAGTAGAATATGACACCCAATATTACATAATCACAACTGAGCCAATGGTTCTTAAAATTTGCCTTGATAAATGAATGCTTTGGATTAAAAGCATGTTTCTGTAATGAATTATGCTTGGGGTTTTACTGTGTTGCAGAACCCAAGATCTGACTTTCCTTACTCATTCTGATGGCTGTAGTCAGTATGCTCTGGTGGGTAACCTGATTCCCAAAGGGGAAACCAGCCTTTCTTTTTTTTCTCTTTTAATGTGTAATTAAATGGAGATGATATTCTACCTATAGGCTGGTTAATGGGGAGTGAGACTGCATATGAATGAAACTATAAAATATTACAAAAGTGAGTTTTTGTTTATCATAACAATCCCGTGGTATTGATATTTTAAATTCCCATTTTGCATGTAAGCAAACAGATTGAGAGGTTAATTAACCCTAGTAATCAAATCTAGTTAGACTGTATGCCAGAATTGAAACCAGTTCTATAAACTTCCAAATATGAACACCAGCTTGCAAGCCTACATTTTTCCCAGGTGTTTTGCCAGCCATAGCGTCAGTTCTGATTTCCTTTCTTCCCTTCATACGTAGGCCCTGATACAATCCTTATCTCTTCCAACCTCATTGTTAATTTCTGCCAGTGTACCTGCTAGGTAAGACAGTAAGTGGTTATAGTTGAACATTCATTTGTTTCCTAATTGCCCTGAGTTACTTTGTGGTCAACTTTTGCAGTTGCTACATCGTTCTATTAAACAGTAGATTATGCTTAAATACATAATCCTGGAGTATAAAAAAGTTTGACTTTGAATTTTATCTTAGCATAGAATGCTCACACTCTTCCCCCAAACCTTGTCCTGAATTTTATGTTTTGATATCCTGCAGCTTTTCATTAAAATATTTTCATTAACAGCATGATTTTCTACTGCTGATATTGGAAGGTAGTTAACATTTCTTTTCCTCCATAGTTTGTTTATGGATTATAGGCTGAATTGCTTGATTGATAAGTGAGAGAATACTATTGATTGGTGAAATCTTTCATATAATTAGTCTCAAAGAAATGAAGTCTTCTGAGAGCAAACCCAGTTCTTAACAGATGCCTGAACACTGAGTTCATGGAGTTCCTTGAATCCTTGCTGATAGGAATGTTTAAACCAGGAGAGTTTAGCTGACGCTTTAATTTTGGATACAAGAGGCAATTCCAAATCCAGGTCAGCTCTCTTGCTGCCGTATGGGCTTTGTCATGCGGTTAGAAGCAAAAACTAATTTAATGAAAAACCTGCGGGCAACCACATATGGATATGCTGGCTAAGAAAGTGCTGTTTGTATAGGTAGATATTCTGATGGTGTTTTTAAAGGAGTAGAATACTTGTAATAAGAGTATTTTGATTTTTAGTGATGAGAATATTATAATTTTGAAACTTTTTAAAAAAATATTTTATTTCTCATCTCTTCTATTTTAATTTTTTGTTTTTACTTGAGAGAGAGAGAGAGAGGGTGCACAAGCAGGGGAGAGGGACAGA